GTGACTTTGTGGATGTGGTTTTGTGGGCATGGCAGGGTAAGGATACTGCAAAATCCCCATTCCCTCCCACTCCTGGGAGAAGGATACTGCAAAATCCCCATTCCCTCCCCACTCCTGGGAGAAGGTTCTGCAAAATCCCCATTCCCTCCCCACCCCACTAACCTGCTTTCCAGCTCGCTTCTCCTGTTCAGGGCAACAAAAGAAGATCAGCTAGGAGGATGGGAGGGGGTGGGGGTGGGGCCAGCCTGTTTGCCAGTTCTCCAAACTACTAAAAATTTCTGCTACCAGTTCTCCAGAACCTGTCAGAACTGGCTGAACACCACCTCTGCTCCCCACCTTCCAACTATATCAAATTCCACTAGTTGCCTTTCTAATCAAGGATGGAGATATGCATTTAAATAGATGGCCTCTCCTAGCAGGTTCATGAAGATGTTAAACAATAGGGAGAGGAGGTCCAAGACCCATGGTTGTCACTTCTATTGCTTTTTAAATTTCCTTATCTGGAAGCCTTGTGATTGATTTAAAATTCCCTCTCCTCCACTCCATCATTTTTACTTTAATTAGAGTTATGTAATTACTTTCTATTTTTACTTCCTTAGGTTGTTGCTATTGCCACTATAATGTTAGGCTTGGACAAATGAGATGTTGAGCAGCTGTGTGGACCTTTGCAGGATGAAGTCAAAATGATTTAATGCATTTTTATATAGTACAATGAGCATGTGCATTGTGGAATACAAGCCATGAATGTTTGCCTTTTTCTATGCAGGGAATTATCCTAGGATGCTACTTTGGGCCCATTGCTCTCTATATCTGGGCTGTTGGAATCCTTGCAGCAGGTCAAAGTTCAACCATGACAGGAACCTATGCAGGACAGTTTGTTATGGAGGTGAGAAAGTACCTGGAGATGTATAGTAAATTGGGGAGTGGGAAGGGCTGACATTCAGTTCTGGTAAAGGATGAGATAATGATGTCTGCCTGCCTGCCTCTAAAATAGTTATAAAAGCCATTAAATATAAGGCAATGTATGGTAACTATAGTTTTCTTTTAAGTTACAAAATGCAAATGAAGGAAAGAAATCTCAAAATTCTAGACTTTGTCTTTCTTCCTTTCCTTACATATATCTCCAATGCATAATGGTATCACTATGTCTTGATATGCCTTTGTCAAAATATGTGTGAAACCAGAAGTTTCCATGTTCATATATGGTCTTGGTCGCTATTATTTCATTTAATAGCTGCTGGAATTCCAATATTCCCATTTCTCTCATCATCTTTCCTGACCTCTCCTGCAGCTGAAATAGTCCCTCTTCTCATATTTTCTCCCATTTTTTTCCAGGTCCGTATGTCCTTTTAAGTCCAGACTCATTTTATCTTGTTGGAACATCTTTTTTCCCATGGCACAGTTCATATGCTGTCCTTCGGGTGGTTGAAAACTATTCGTCTAAGGCAGGGATAGTCAACCTTTTTATGCCGACTTTTGTATCTCTGTTACAGTGGTGGGATTCAAATCATTTAACAACCGGTTCTCTGCCCTCATGATTTCTTCCAACAACCAGTTTGCCAAACTACTCCGAAAGTTACCAACCGGTTCTCCCGAAGTGGTACGAACTGGCTGAATCCCACCACTGCTCTGTTAGTAGTAAAATTTTCTAACCACCCACCGGTTCCACAGTAATGGTGATTTATAAAGTAGGGAAGTAACTTTATAAAATTTATAAAGCAGAGGTACAGCAAACCCCTACCGCCCACCATGAAAGCTGGAACGCCCACTAGTAGGCGGTAGGGACCAGGTTGACTACCACTGGTCTAAGGTTTGCTTCCATACTACTGCTGTCTCTTTTTTCCTGCCCCAATGCTCTCTGCTCTGTCTTACTAGTTAAAGTGGTACCCTGAATTTTGGGTTTGCTTAGCATGTCAAGCAAAACTGTTAGTTAAGACCTAAAGCTTTCTTTCTCTTCCCCTTTTCGGGATCACACCAGACAGTGTGATACAATCTACCATCAATGCTAGCAGTTTTTCGGATGACTAATCCAATGATCTTCTTTGCCTAGACAAGTCAGATCAAAGTGCTTTCATGGGCAAAGATGGAGCAAGTTTTGACAGCTAGATGTGCAAAATTGGCATTGGGGATTTCTAACTCATTAGACTTTAATCCAGTAAGGAGAACTTGTGTTCCCAATGAGATAGTAATAGTACTGCTTCACAGTGCTTTTACAGCCCTCTCTAAGCGATTTACAGA